TGTATGTATGTATATTGCCATAACCAGTGGTAAGAAAAGTAAAAGAACAAAATTCAAAAAATTATGAACATCTGTTCTGATAGATTGTAGAGTTTCATCACCGGATAACATTCTTGCAAAACGTGGCAAAAATAATGGATGCTCCAAAATGTTATTTTCAAAAGCATTTTGGAGCATCGATTTTTCCCCACATTTTCCATGAATTACATTTCATGATGAAACTTTGGAAGCTATCCAACAATTGTCAATGTTTGAAAACAAAATTGTTTTTATTTTTTTGGATTTTACTATTCACCCGAGCTCACGTGAGTCAGGATCATAACAGCACTTTCGTAGGGAAAGCTACTATATACTAGAGCTAGCATAACTTTTATGGTACATAATCTGGCGCAGTGGTCAAATACGAAATTCAATATTACCATATTAGTGGCTCGTGGTGTTCTTGATTTACATCGACATGTTGGCCTTGAACTGCTTCAGTCACATCAGCTCATGCAAGGACTCACGTACATGAAGCCTATTGATTTTGCAGCAGCTAAATCATATGGCCTTTGCAGCAAAGCTGGCTAACAATGTACGAATCGATGGATGGATTGGTGCTGCTATCTGCAGCTTTTTTGGTGGCTTTTCATTACAATATACATAACTGACTTACAAACCGACTTGGTGAAGAATTTCAAACCATAAACAAAAGGGAACTTATACTAATATAGATACACGACAGGCTTATTACTCAAACGGGATACACATCATAGATACCTTGTTGTGGATACAACTATAATAAGCATTACATGACATGTTGCATAGTATACAAAACGTCAAACTCCTTTTTTGGGGGGTAGCATGTTGTTGCATTATGCATCAACAACCGAAAGAAGCATTTGCACAACATTTTCCATGGTGGGCCTTTTTCTGGTATCTTCTTCTACGCAAGAAATGGCCAACTTGACCATAGTTCTTGCTTGCAACTCATTGAACTGGCCATTCAATCTCGAATCAACAAAGTTGGAGATCCATAACTGTTGGCCACCCTCCATCAGTAGATTTTCTGCAAGCATCCTAATGACCCATCCAAAGACCGTTTCCACTTCCTCGTCAGCATTTGATGCCCAGTCTGAAACACGAGCCCCCTTCAGTAGTTCCAAGACAACCACTCCGAAGCTGTAGACATCAACCTTTGCTGTTATTGGTTGGCTAGAGACCCACTCAGGAGCTATGTAACCTCTTGTTCCATGGATCCTCGACACAGTTTTATTGGATCCACCTCTACTCACAAGTTTAGCAAGGCCAAAGTCACTGATCTTCGGGTTCAAGTTGTCATCCAACAATATATTTTCAGGCTTCAGGTCACAATGGATAACCCACTCCAAGCATTCATGATGAAGATACGCCAATCCTTTTGCCACCCCTATAGCAATATTAAACCTTTCCTTCCATTCAAGTAACCTTGTGCTACTAAACAAAGTTTTATCCAATGAACCATTCTCAACGTACTCTAGAACCAATATCCTGCGTGGGCCATCAGAACAAAACCCCCATACCCTCACCAGATTCATATGGTAAATCTTCCCAATCACACTTAGTTCATGTTGGAATTCTTCCCCGCCTTGGTTTATGTCTGCCAACCTTTTCACCGCCACTACCCTCTTGTCCTTCAAGACCCCCTTGTATACATGACCAGATGCCCCGCACCCAATTTGATCCTTAAACTTTTGAGTCGCTCTCTGCAACTCCTTGTAAGTGTATCCGCGAAAATGGTTGGTTATCATTTCATAGCCAATCTCAGCTGGCCATACTCCTGGTAACTGCTTTCCCTCCCTTCTCAACAAAAACCAGCACCCTAGTGCCACAAATATCACCTCTACACAAAATATTGCTAATAAGAATCCATACAGCAAGTATAAGTACTGCGAGTTTAATCCACTATGACTATCTTTGGGTTGATCCAGAAATTCGGGAATGGAATATTGGGTCTTTGCACTACAATTAGGAGCATATCTAGGATCAAAAGGTTGAGATTGAGGAATTGAGGACTTTGAGACCTGTAATGTCTTAGGAAGCTTGATATAGATAGAACGACCCAAACCCGGCCTCATTTCACCACCCAAAAGGGATTGGATAGCAACCTCCACTTGCTTGCCAGTATAAAAAACCTTTGCAATTGCAGTCGTTCAAGCATATCTTCTTGCAAGTATGAAATGAAACTGAGGTATTCTTACTTTGCTCATTACCTCGGAAGTCAGTGTTTGGTAGCTTCACAAACATCTCCTGCCCATCACAACTAGTATTGAATTTCGGCCTGCAACCTTGGCTCCTATCATTTGGGTCGATGATCTCATGTCCAGGGGCACATGCACAAGAAGGCCTAGGTGTATACACACATATTCCATTCGTACCACATAGACTACGTATAGAGCAGGTCTGAGGAAGTGCCATCCATGTGACCAACCATGTTCCATCTGTCTTATTTAGACTATATAATCTAAGGTTGCCATCATAATCCAAGGTTAGCCTCCTCATAATCCTAATGCCCCAATCACTAGCCTTAAAATTTAAATTGTCACTTCCAAGGAAATACCCCCAACTATCAAGAACCCCAATTGTGGTGGTATTAAACGAGTTTCTTTGCTTTGTCCATATGTCACTATTAGGATTTGGCCAGTAGATAAAAGAGATATCCTTCTCATCATCAAACAATGTGAGTAGATGTTGATCATCAAAATGAAAGCTGTAGCGCCCAGGAATAAGTAACCTACTAGTAGATACCAACTTGGTAGCACTGGTAATGTTCTGATAGGGCAGCAATGTATCAGTAGGTGAATGAAAGCTTTGCCATAGAATAATATCACCTTGGCCCTTCACGATGAGGTTCCCGGTGTCCAATAACTGAGCTTTTACAGCTGTTGATGAAGAGTTGACACTGTTTTCCCACACGGACTGTCCATTGTAATCCTCTAGAACCATTCCGCCATCCGCATATAGCATGACTCGGGATCCCCAGGAGTACACAGGATGGAGATGATTTGCGCTCCAGACGACAGTCTTGTCAACTGTATTGGAGAACCAAATAGAGAAGACGGAGGCATTTCGGGAAATGTTTTTGAAGCCACAGGTGAAAGTGCCATCTGGTGAACGGAGCATATGGGAGCTATCCTCTATGGAGAGAGAGGAGCCCGGCAAGAGGAATTCACGAGCTGAGATGCGCAAAAACAGATGAACCAAATTTAGTAGGAGTAGAGGCAGAGCGTGCATCCATATTTGTTGAGGCACTCGAGTTGATCTATGGAATGATCACAAATGGACGCTATTATAGGAATCAACTAGTGGTAGGTAGAAGCGATATACTTCTACTATAACTAAATAGGAAACTGATTGGCGATTTGGCGCTTGTCCCTTACATGAGAATGATAGCTTGTTCTAGTTCGTCAATGATGCAATTAATAGTTAGTTGAGAAGTCATTGTCATTAAGTTTGAGCGTTGTAGATGACAGTAAGGATGCAGACCCCACGGCATCATCTTTTATTTTAGCTGGCTGATGTATACTCCTGAAATAAGGATGTAGACCCCACGGCATCGTCAAATTTGGGCCACTCTTGCTCAAATTTCATCATCCTTCATGCAGGAGATAAGTGAAAAAAGTTACTTATTTCAGTTGTGTGGTGACAATACAATGATATATAGGAGTAATTAGTTTGCTATATATCGTACAAAGGTCCCCAGGATCAATTGTTTCTCGGGAAATAAATGGTCAACTTTGCAGCAGGGATTTCATTGTTTCACGTATCCTTCTCTCAATAACTTCTTGTCTTTTTCTTGGAATTGCAACTTGTTCTATTCGGTCTACAATTCAACTATTATTGAAGTCATTGTCTTTCAAGCAGGTCCATCAATGTTTCAGGCTTTAAGCTGGCTGATGTGTACTCCTGAAACGAAGCTCCAGGGATATGATTCGGGGAAAGTAGTGGCTGCACCCCACCACACCATGCAGCTGATAACTGAAATAAAATCTCAATTATTATCCATGAGTAATTGGTATGCTGCTTCTTACACAGGTTGTCGGCATGATCCCAGTTATTACTATCGAAGAGAAATGGTAAACTTGGCAGTATATGGATTTTATTGCTGCAGATAGACAGGCAGTCCTCGCCATTTTTCAAAAGAAACTCACATCTGACAATAACTGTACATGAAAATAACAGATTGTGGCTTCATGCGTTGCAGCACATGATTTTCAAAGTGAAGACATATCCATTTGGCTTCCAGAGCAATATTATCATCAGACTGGACTGGACAGTGGAGACTTCTCAAATATATCTCCAGTCATCGGGTAGCTAGTACGAACACTAATGGTCTGAATTCAGAAACAACATACAACCCCAAACTTTCCAATCAGATGTATTCCTCTGGTACCTGACAAAGGAGGAGTTTCACAGTGTAAATCCTCTCAAGCAAGCGATTTAGCCAGTGTTTGATTTCCTGGCGTCACTGGGTAACTTTTTTTTATTTCAGCTCTTTGACTACTAATTGGCTTACTTATCCATCCGGTGGTGGGCGACATGTATACTTGGCCAAACCTTGGGCCGGGCCGGGCTTCGGGCTGGGCCTAGCCAAGCCTGAGGCAATAAACCCAGGCCCGGCCCGGTCCGGCCATCGGGCCTGGTTTTAGGCCCGAATCCGGCCCGAATACGTAAAAGCCGGGCGCGCCTCGGGCCGGGCCCCTTTAGGAAATCGCTAAAATGGCGGACCCGGCCCGGCCCGAATACGTAAAAGCCCGGCACGCCTCGGGCCGGGCCCCTTCAGGAAATCGCCAAAATGGCGGATCCGGCCCGGCCCGGCCCGGTCATCGGGCTCAAAAACTAGGCCCGAGCCTGGCCCGGGAGCAGCGTCGGGCCAGGCTGGGCTTCCCATGGCCAGGTATAGCGACATGCAAGTTCCCGCATTAACATGGATAATTTGGTAAGATACAAAATGGACAATGAGAGCGGGATGAACCTTTATGGTGGCCACGCCTGTCAACCTCTAGACTCTAGTGGGTAAGAGCATCTCCAACCGCGCCCCCAACAGGCTCCCCAGGCCACTTTTTCGGCGCTGGCACCGAAAAAATGGCCCAGTCGCGCCCCAGGAACCCTTTTTTCGCCGGATTGGGCCGAAATTGACGCCGGCATACCCAGCTTGAACCCGGCGCGCTAGGGGTCGCCTGGGGCGCCGGATGGACCGTTTTTTGGCGTGAACTGTGATGGGCCCGCCCTGTCAGCGACGCACCGCTTCGTCGTCCACATCGCCTCGTTTCCCGCGGGAATCAATGCCAAACCTGCCGCGCTGTCGCGCCGTAACCTCCATTGATGACGCGCCTGCCGCGATGCAGCGCGCCGGTCAGCATGCCCATTTGATGCCGCGCAGTGAAGCGTCGCGTCGCCCAGCGCCACGGCCACCCGCCACGCGTCGCCTGGCATGCGCCTCCCGCCGCCCGAGCTCCGGCTATAAAAGCCGCCCGCCTCGCTGGTGAACGCCACACCGTAGCACATCGCCTCTCTTCTCCCCCTCCCCCGCTCGCACACTCCACTCCCCCGCCGACGAGCAATGGCAGCGCGGTACCCAGGCGATTCCGCGGCGAAGAACGGCTTCGGCCGCCGCCACCTCCACGAGTGGGAGGCGCGCCTCCTTTTTGAGGCCGACTACCCGGCTCCCCGGGACATGAGGGTGCCGGACGCGTGGCGTTTGAGTGCCGGCGGTGTGCCTGTGCCACCCAATCCCACCAGGGCGGACCGGCGGGCAGAGATCGCCCGCATTAGGTCGTTGCTGTCAGAGGAGCAGCGGCGAACGCCGGCGTACTCCCCCGACAACAACGCGTTCTAGACAATCTACTTCGACCACCGCCGCGATGGCCTGATCGCCTCCACCAACGGCGTCGTGCCTCGCGGCCACCACTATGCCGAAGGGCGGCGCGACTGGTGGGGGGTGCCCGGCCGCACCCTCGAGCACGTCCTCGAGTACCCCGCCCCCGCACCCCCGTCCTTCTCTCGCCGCCGTGGCAGCTCGTGGATGCCGCGGCGATTGTCGTACGCGACGACCTCCTCCTCCTCGGGCGGCTCGCCGGCGTCCTTTGCCGTCAAGCCCGAGCCGCAGGACACAGCGGGGGAGTCCCCGCTAGGGCGCCGCACCCACAACGGCGCCCTAACCATCCCCGAGGAAGGCCGCGGCGGTCGCATGCGCCGCGTCCGGCCGAAAACCGAGCCGGAGCACCTCGCGATGGCCGCCGCCGATGAGACGGCCATGAGGTGGGCGAGGGAGGACTACGTCCGCGAGCAGGTGGCTCGCCAGCGCCGCGCCCTCGAGGAACTTAAGGCGCGCCACCCCCGCCCCGTCCTCGAGGTGGACGGCGTCCTCTACCTCGACAGCGACGAGGAGGAGGCCGGGCCATCCCGCGTCGGCGACCCTGGACAGGGCTGCAGCAGGGACGGCGGCGGGTGGCAGGGCGAGGACGACGAGGACGAGGACGAGGACGACTACACCGACTTCTACAAGCACCTAGGCATGTAGAAGTCGGACGGCGGCAAGGCGCGGCGAGGACGGCGTAGCTAGGCCGTGTTTGTTTTTTTATTTGTTTTTTGTACAAATTTGAATCAATGTCACCGAGTTTGGATGAATCTCGACGAGTTTGTGCCAAAAAAAAAACGCCGAATTCGTTTAGCCCTGGGGCCGACCTGGGGGCGACAACTGGGAACGCAGTCGCCCCCACGCCAAAAATCTCGCCGGCTCGCCCCCAGGACGCGTTTTTTCGACGTCCTGGGGGGCCGAACGGCTGGAGATGCTTTAACGTACATGTTTGCAATCTCCGCCCGGTGTCGTCATTCGTCAATTCCTCAAAGTTTCTGGCGTGAGGAGATTAATTAACATTCTTAATTCCTACTACTAAAAATGGATTCATTTTGAGAGATAATTTTTCAAGTACTTGGTTCCTACGAATATTTCTACTTTTATTTACTGATTATTATATATAGTATTTTATGTCAAGGCAAAGAATCCTTTTTCTTTTCTTTTAGAAATGGGGTAGGGGAAACCCCTACAACGATAGTAGTTTCTAAAGAATATAAGAACACAAACTTGCACTAGCGGGGACTTGACTTGAACCCATGTGGCTGAGTAGTAAATCCACTCCCCTAGCCTAGCTTACTTCTTAGAAAAAGTAGTTCAAGGTAGCAAAATTGACGCAAATTAAAAGACGATACAAATTTATTTTTATTCCCTAAATTATTTACTATCTTAGTGAGGAAATACTTCCTATTGAAATATTTCCAAACCTCGAAGTCACCAACTGCCGATGCTGGCCATCATTGGTCTCCTTGAGCCACCCCATGATGGCGGTGTTGTGCGAGGGTGGATGGCGGAGAGAAGAAGAACAAAATAGAAAAAGAACAAAACTGGACAAAATTAAAATAGCAAACCCAAAGAAGGGAAAAGATGATGATGAAGAAGAAGAATAACGGAAAGAACAAGAAAAATGGAACAAAAAGAAAGAATGGATAAGAAAAACCTGAAGAAACCGAGAAAACAAACAGCTCCTGAGCCGGCAAGATAAACACCCATTGGATCTTCTACTTATTTCTTATTTTGCTTCCCAACAGCCCAGCTAGCTGCCTGGGCTTTTTCCTCTAAAAAACTGGGGCACTATCGCTCGTAGCGAGCATTCCACGACGTGTCGCTCGCGTGGGCGCGACTATGTCTTGCTTACAGCGAGACAATAGCTTGCGTCGCCTGAAGAAGAGCACATTGTTTGCCTGCCCAGTAGCACTATTAAGATGTACATGACATTTCATCATGATATTCCCGGGTTTCAAAAAAAAGTTCATGACATTTAATTTTTTTATTTCCTTTTAAATTGTTTTTAAAATTTTAAAGAAATATTCGAGTGTTTAAAAAATGTCCGTGAAATTTTATAAAATGTTTATACAATGTAAAATAAATGTTTGTGTTGTAAAAAAATGTATTGTGTATTTGAAAAATGTCCAATACGTATAGAAAAAACATTTCACATGTGCTCTAAAAATATAAATTCGAGAAAAGAAGGCATGCGTTGAAAAAACTAAACCAATAGAGAAAAAAGATGAAAAGGAAAATACCCAAGAAAACAAATAAAACCAAAAATGAAACACAGAAATTCAAAGTTTAGCGACGAAAGAAAGAAAAACCGAAAATAGCCAATGAGAAAACAAATAAAAACAAAATAAATGGAGAAAAGAAAACCAGTGGA